AAAAAAAGAGCACGGCAAGCCTGGTCGTGTGTTTCTGCTCCACCGCTATCCATACCCACCCACCCGTCGCGCATTCCCGACGGACCGGTACACACTTCAGACATCTACCCCGTCCATCACCGTCGCCGGCTCATCCAGCTCTGGGCCGCTGTGGCACGCATATATCCCTCCCCCTTCTTCGGGGACCCCGAGACGACCCTTCGAGCTGTCGACCCCTCTGGGCTCTCGGAGCGCCGCGAAGTTGTCTTCCCAGCACCCTCCATCCCATCCTCACGACCGTCACGAGTACTACGAGCCTACGAACACACCGCGGCGACGCCAGCAGTCGCCGACCCAGCTGCCGCATCTGCAGCCCACGCCCGATCCAGCCCGGACCGCTCCAGCCGAAGGGAGGACCCCCTCCCCCCTCTCCATCCGCCTCCGCCGGACCCCCAAGTTCGACGCCGCTCCCAGCCCAGGGTCGGCCCCCTTGGTCCACCAGGTCCACCTGGGCGCCGCCTCAGTCGGCTTCCATCCCCGGCCGTCGCCTTCTCTCCCGCCTGCCCTCGAGCCCAGCCGGGATCCGACCGACCGGGCTGCTCCCACCCAGCAGCGGTACCAGCCGTCGTCTACCGCCCGCCGCCGAGACCACGCCCGCAGGCCAGTCGGTCCACAGCACCCCGCTGAGGACCCGGATGAGGCGTCGACAGACCCCTCCCGTCGATACTCGTTCCTCTCCCCTCACGAGGCAGACCAGCCAGGCAGCCAGGCAGCCACCCGCGTATCCAAGCACACGCGCAGCGCAATACTATACGCCTTAGAGGAGGCGCTCCGGCACCCGAACCCCTTTACGCCCGACGTTGTCGAGGAGACTGCAGACATGGCAGACCTCGCCGCGAGTGCCGCCGCCTCCAACGGGAGCAGCGGCCTACCCGCGCCAGGCCGTCCCACCGAGGGCCCCACCCCGACAGGCTCGCCATCGGGCATCAGGGGCCCCAGGATGATCATGAAGGAGCGCATGGAAAGAGAGGCCCGCCAGAGGGCCGAGGCGGATAAGCTCAAGATGGAGCGTACCAGGGCGGAGCAGGAAGCCCGCCTGCAAGAGGAGGCATTGCAGAATGCGGCACAGCGTCGGCCTGCTGGCGCTGCCGACCCCGTCGGCGGCGACCTGTTCGCCGTCAGCGACCCTCAGCGACAGTCTGCCGTAGCGCAACCCACGGCCACATCCATTCCCGCTGCACAAGCGTCACACCACCGCACAAACTCGTCCAGATACGCGGCCAATCAGCAGATTCCCTCGCAAGCCTACGCCGGACAATCACAGCAGCAGCAGCAGCAGCAGCAGCAGCAGCAGCAACCACAACCGCAGCGTATACCGCAGCACGTCCGTAGCCACTCACAAGTGCAACAACAACCACAGCAGCAGCAACCCATACCCCCGACAAAGTCACAGCAGGCCGGCGGCGAGGCGCCCTCACAACAACCCGCACAGCCCGCGGCCGCGGTGGCGGCCGGCTCGAAGCCGCGCAATTCCTTCCCCCACGCCTTCGAGCGGTGGGAGACGCTGTCGGCCCATTGGGAGGGTCTGACGAGCTACTGGATCCGCAAGCTCGAGCAGAACAAGGACGACCTGAGCCGGGACCCCGTGAGCCAGCAGCTGGCGCGACAGGTGACGGACCTGTCGGCCGCCGGGGCCAACCTCTTCCACGCCGTGGTGGAGCTGCAGCGGCTGAGGGCCAGCTCCGAGCGCAAGTTCCAGCGCTGGTTCTTCGAGACGCGGGGCGAGCTGGAGCGGGCGCAGGAGGTCAACACGATGCTGGAGAACGCGCTGGACCAGGAGCGGCGGAACCGCGACGAGGCCATCCGCGAGGCCCTGGAGAAGGACAAGGGGTCGACGCACGCGCAGAAGCAGCTGGCCGAGATGCGCAAGGAGCTGGCCATATCCAAGGACGAGGCGCGCCGGGCGTGGGAGGAGCTCGGCCGGCGCGAGCAGACGGAGCGCGACCGTACCCTGTCGCTGCAGTCGGGCAACCCTACCATCGTCGGCGGCGTCCAGGTCGTTCCCATGACGCAGGGCGTCGGCCGACACCAGCACCACCCGCCGGCCGCGCACGACGCGGGAGCCCACAGGGAGGGGTACTCGCAGGGTTACGCCGCCGACGACCCCCCTCCCCGGTCATCCCACTCGGCGCACCGCGCCTCCCCCTCGACGCGTCCCGCCCACGCTCAGCAGCAACCCCAGCAGCACCAGCACCGGTACCAGCAAGGTGAGTACGTCACCGACGTGCAGGGAAACTTGGTGCTAGACACTCACGGCAACAAGATCCCTCTCGCCGCCCCTCCGTCCAGCTACTCGGGTTCTGATGCCGGAATAGAAGGAGAAGGAGGGGTCGACTACGACACCCCGGCCACGACCAACCCCCCCAGCGGGACGTACGACCCTCCGTCACATCCTGCTGCCGCCACGCCCTCCGGCCCCGGTGGTAGCGGCCAGCCGCAGCCGTCGTCGTCATCCTCGGGCGGTCCCGGTCACGGCCACGGTCCCGGCAGCGCAGACTGGACCGGCACATACTCTGACCCGCAGGACTACAGCGGTCAGGGCTACGCCACTCCCGCGTGGGACGACCAGCCGCGCCATCACCATCCTACTCGTCTGAGCGATGTGATTGAGGAGGAAGATGAGAGGAGCCGAACAAGCGCCAGTCAACTCAGCCGTCATTAATTTCATCTCCGCGGCATCATGAGCAGAGCAGTTTCTAGTCCACATCTTCTACCCTTTGTATCATTTCTTCTAAGCTGTGTGGCCCACTTTCTTTTCTCTTCTTTTTTTTTCTTCTTTTTTTCCAATTTTTTTCTTTCCTGATCTCTAAATGACTGCAACATACCTAGGAGGGAGCCTGACTGCATGATATACTTCTCTCCTCTTTTCTTTCTCTTTTTCTTTCCACAACGGTCTCTATCTTCCTCCCACGTCTCTTTTTTTCTTTCTTTATTACAAGAAAAGGAGGGGAACCCTTGTCTATACGAATTCGAAAAGAACACCATTTCACTCTACGTTTTTGTGTTTACAAATGATGTCCTCCCCCCCCCCCCCTTTTTTTTTTTTTTTTTTTTTATGTGTGAATGTTTTAGCCGATGTCTTTTTTTTTTTTTTTTTTTTTTTCGGTGCTTCTTTAATGGACATGATCTCTAGGGTTCTCCTCTCTTAAATGTCTTGATGTCTTCCTGATACTTTTATAAGCGGTGTCTTTCGGTTTCTACATCCGACTTCTTATTCGATCAATGCTTATTTTAATCAAGTTTGGCGTCAATTTCACAAAAAAAAAATCATTACACAGCTTGACCTGGCGGATCATGCATTTCATCTTTGCTACCCAATGCTGATGTTGAATGAAGAAGGATGACGGAGAAGAGGCGAAAAAAGAGGTTGGGGGGGGGGGGGGRGGGGGARGGGAARAAAAWWTTTTTTTTTTTTTTAAAAAAAAAGAGGTCTATCACACGCTGAACAAGGGAAAAGGAAAAAGAATGAGGATACGCAAGGCAAGATAGCCTACGGCAACTCCCCGACAGTCTGGAAACTCCCATCGCCAACCTTGGCCCTACGCACCTCGACCTCCTCGAGCGGCAGCCTGGGTCCCTCGGCCATGACGCGCTCCCTGTGCCAGGGACCGACGAACATGCCGTCGGGGTCGGCCCTGTCGCGCACGACCCTCCACTCGTCGAGGTCCTGGCCGAACATGGCCTCGATCTCCGGACGGCGGGCGTCAAAGTTCTTGGCCCAGTGGGGGCGCCCGCCCAGGTCGCGCATCAGGTGCTCGAAGCCACGGTAGTAGCGCTCGCGGCAGGGCGGGTCGAGGTGGTAGGGCCTGTAGAGGGTGGCGTTGAGGTACAGGGTCGGGCCGTCGGGGGAGGTGGGATCCAGGAAGGGGCGGACCGGGCTCTCTCCGTCGGCCCGGGGGCGGTTGCCGTCGGACACGCGCACCTCGACGGGGGCGTGGACGTACAGGCCCTCAGCGGAGAAGGGGATGCCGTGCTCGACGTAGCCGTCGTCGGACTCGTCGAGGCGGTTGAGCCAGCTGGACAGGCGAGCCAGGGCCTCGGGCCCCCTCTCGAGCGGGATGGCCCACTCGTTGACGAACTGCGAGTACAGACAGTTGAGGAGCAAGGCGCGGCTGCCCGGCTCGACGGCGGTGGGGGTGGTGACGCCGTCGCGGAAGCCGAGCTGCATGCCGAAGACCAGGCGCTCGACCCAGGGGAGGATACGCGGCACCAGGTGCGCCAGCGCGAGCAGGTTGTGGTAGACGTAGTAGCCCAGGGCGCCGTCGAACCAGTTGGCCGCGGGCGCGACGTGGGCCTCCCCCGGGTCGGCCTTGTCGGCGGCCCAGACGGCGGCGCGCCGCGTGTACGGGTACCAGTAGACGCGGACGAACTCGGCGCGGGACCAGAGCTGGCCGCGGCGCCAGCTGTCGAGCAGCCTGGCATCGGAGTCGACCGTCTGCGTCCAGCGCAGGGAGAAGGCCGGCACGGCACGGATGGTGACCTGCGTGACGATGCCGAGGGCGCCGAGCGACAGCGTCGCCGCGCGGAAGAGGTCGCGATCCCGGTCGGCCGAGCAGTCGACCGTCTTGCCGCTGGCGAGCGTAACCTTGAGCGCCACCACGTCTTCGGACATGAGGCCGTGGCGCAGGCTGCTGCCGTGCGTGCCCGTCGAGATGGCCCCCGCGATCGACTGCTCGTTTATGCTGCCGAGGTTGGGCATGGCCAGACCCCTGCGATCCAACTCCTCGCACAGCCTGTACAGCCTGATGCCGCCGTCCACGACGGCCAGTCCCGTCTCCCGATCGACCGAGTGCACCGCGTCGAAGTCGTCCAGGTTGACCAGCCAGCTGGACGTGCACGTCATGCTGGAGGGCGAGTGGCCGCACCCGACTGTGGCTATGCGCCGCCGGCACGCACGGGCCACATCCACCGCCTTCTCTACCTCGGCCAGCGTGCGCGGCCGGATGTACAGCTCCGGGAGGGACGAGAAGGTCCGCGCCCACGTGCGGTGCGTGTGCTGCGCCTGCGCGCGGAACGCGACGCCATCGGCCGAGCGTCTGGCTAGCTCGGCAGATACAAGGGGATCCATTGGGTTGAGCTCGATTGTCGGAATCCTCAGGCCTCTTGCTATCACCCGTCGTCCACAGGGGCGGGGAAAGGGCGCAGGTAGGTGATTGTGAGATTAGGAGAAGAAAGGGAAAAAAAAAAAGGTATGAGGGGGAAGGTGGTGATATAATATCGACAATGAATTATTAATATGGGGCTCTGTAATCAACTAGGCATTACCTGATTCTCTATGGCCTTGGAAAGGGAAAAAAAAACAAGAGGTTGACATGGCGTCTATACAAGTGTCCATCTTCATGCCTAGGGTCCACGGACTTTTCGCGCACTCGGAGCTTGCAGTCGGAGACTTCGGCGTTGCGCGAAAGAAAGAGGCAGGTCAGAAGGGGTGAAGTGGGATGCTTACTGGAACATCCTCCAACTCCTGTCGCATTGCATATTATCGATGATGATACTCTTTTCATATGGATCAATTCTCGTCTCCAGAGGCGTTCCCACCCCACCAAGGTTCATGTCCTGTAATATTGATAACTCTCGCCCCGCCCTCCTCGTCAATGGCGCCATTGGGGGCCTACATGGCTGGTCCAGTGCGTTAAAACCCCGCTGTGTGCGCGTACGAGTCGTGAATTGGCAGGACTCGAGTTTTACTTTCTTTGCTGACAGTTTCGATGCACTCCCATTGCTATGATCTGGGGGTGTGTGTGTGTGTGTGTGTGTATGTGACGTGCCAGCTTTCTTAAAGGAGAGAAGAAGGAAGAGGGGAAAGAGAGAGAGAGAGAAAGAAAGGGAGGAAGGAAGCAGTGAGAATAAAATGCATATGCGACGCAGATCTGACATGTGCGTCTTAGATGACAAATCTACATGTCAATAAAAAAGAAGGATGAAAAAAAAAAACAAGAAAAAAGAAATGCTCTTGTGAGCGAGCTTGCCACCACCAGGACTCGAACCTGGGACCTCATCATTACTAGTGATGCGCACTACCACTGTGCTATAGCGGCTGTCGTTCCTTGATGACTGTTGAGCAGTGAGTACGGTATATGCATATATCTATCTGTGCGCTAATGGGCAAGCAACCCGCTCATCAAAGACCCGCCCTGTCTCTCCTCCGAGATGCCCCCGTTCCAACGTGCATGTACAATTCATCTTTTATGGCATTATAAGTACTGTTACTAGTATACATTTGGGAAGATACATTCGCGCGCCTTCTCTGCTTTTATACAAAGAAGGAGTAAGCGAAACCCCGGTGGAGGAAGAAGAAGATGGGAAAACAACATCAACCAACCTAACCCATCCTCGACCCAGCAAATACACGTCGCCTAGGGTCCGTCAGACCCTCGGCAAACATCTCAGCCCAGGTACGAGAGAGGGCGGCGACATCATAGCGCCCAGGCGTCGCCTCGGGCACGGGATCCCCCAGCTCATTGGCCACCGAGGTGACCAGCTTCCCGTCCAGGCCGCAGGGCACGAACCTAGCCCAGGGGTTGGACTCTTCGGGCCCCTCGACGGGGATGCTGATGTTGACGGCTATTCCCAAGGCCGTGACGTGGCGGCGGTGGTGGACGCCCAGGGCGGCGATCTTGCGCTCGGGCTCGCCGGGGGGCGTGGCGACCCAGACGCCCGGGTCGTCGCGGCTGATGTAGGTCCTGATGCCGAACAGGTCGGCCAGCAGGCGCTGGGTCGCCGACTCGAGGTGGCTGGCGTACGACTCGACGCCGTACCCCGGGTACAGGGGGGAGCGCATGTCCAGGACCGGCCAGAGGACCATCTGACCCGGACCGTGGTAGGTCGTCAGGCCGCCGCGGCTGGTCTTGCGCACGGCGGGGGTCAGGCTGGTCGGTCGTCCGCCGTCGTTCCTGCCGCCGTCGTCGGCGATGCGCAGCTCCCGGCGCAGACGGGCCATCTGCTCGGGCGGGGGGTTCTGCTGTCGACGGCCGAGGGTGAAAGTCGGCGCCGCCTCGAACGAGATGAGGTGCGGTCGCGGGGGAGGCTCATGGTCGTCTCCGCCCCGTCGCCCCCTGGCAGATTTCTGACCCTTCCACGCGAGCAGGTCGGATCGGATGCTCTCCTGCAGAGACTCGGCTTCGTCATAGCTCGTCAGCCTGCCCGGGTGGAGGTGGTGATGCCGCAGTATGCCGTCGTGGCTGGTGGCAGTGTCGGCTGGTGTCGCAGGCGCGGCGGCCGCTGCTGCCGAGCTGAGCCATCCCGTAGTCGTCGACGGTCGTGGGGCGTGGAGAAGACGCGGCGCTGTTCGGATGCGCACAAGCATCGTTGAAGATGCCGATGCCATACGCGCGTTGGCTGGTGGGGCGCGGGGAGGAAGAGGAGGATGGGGGGGAGTCAAAAAAGATGTTGGGCTGAGGCTTGGAAATTTATTTTTAGCCAAGTGGATGATGGTAGGAGATGCCAAGATGGGGGCGGAGTTGGTGCAGTACGCGCGCAACACCACACACTCTCAAGAGTTGGAGGGCAGGTGGCAAGCAGATGCACCGGGTTCAGATTAGACGAGATGAATCTGTGAATCTACGGAATGGCCGTGGTCTTGACAATCTCGACGATCAACCAACCGACTGCATCTTGATAAGGTCGAGACTCTCTCTCATCCATGGAGAATGTCAACTGCCTCCAAAATTCTCCTGAATTCTACGCGCCATTGCCGAGCCTGCAGCGCGCTGATGTCATACATCGTCCACGTATGATTTGGGGTACGGTGCATCGATATCGACGGGATGACGACATGATGCCTATCGTCGTTTGAATCGCCTGTGTACGTATTCGGCTGCAAGTTTTTATGATTATTATAAGTTATGATTGTTACAATTTTTCTAGATTTTCAATTCTCTGTATTACTCGGGTCCGAGGGTGTTTGTCATTTTCCCAATAGCTAATCCAACATCGCCCGTTTCCATCTAGTATTACTCAACAGGATTACTCTCTCGATAAAATTCCCAACACTCTTCTCGTCTTCGTACCTACTACGTCTTAGTATCGCGACGTACAAGTACATGCAACACGTAGTAGTTGAATCAGTAGGTGGAGCTTAAGCTCTGTGATGGTGTGGCTTGGCAGCAATAGTGCCTCGTCCATCGTCATCACCATCTCGCCCCCTGTCTGGTCTGCGTCCCGCATCGGGGGCATTGCTGGCGTACAGGTAAGCTGAGGCAGAGTGAGGTGTAGAGTGCAAGGATCAACCGTCCGGCAGTCTTTTGAGAAGAGCCGCGGCTTCTCTCGTCTCTCTCCGTCTGTCCTGTCTACATGCTGTCAGAGCACGAATCCACGCGTATTGCCAACGAATCCCCGTGGCTTGTAATCTGTGTACATGGAACCCCTCCCCCGGTCATCTGCTCTTCTCTCTCTACCGTCGTGGGGACCCTTGTGCGTCACTCATATTCTTCTTCCCTCTTCTTGGCTTTTTGTGGCCTTGCGTCCTTGGGGCTCCCGATCAAGACAAAAGTCTCTCCTCCTCCCTCCCCTCCTCCCAAACAGACCAAACATTCCATAAAGCTCACCTCTCTTCCCCACCCCCTCCCAATCATCTTCCCAACTTCTCTTGTTTCATCTTTTGCTTTGTTTCGTTCCATATCGGCAATTATTCACAACATATTCTCCTTCTTCCCCCCTCCCTCCCCACCTCTCATCTCCCCTCCGATCACCACCACTACCATGGCAAAGAGTAAGTCTTACCGGTTGCATCCCCCCTCCAAACTCCGACTCCCAATGCTCTCATTGCTGACTTCTGTCCTAGACGGCATACTGGGCATAGCAGGCCTCATCCTGATGGCCGCATCCCTGCTATTCCTATGGTTCATCGTCCTTAGCGGCCTCACGTCGCACACCACCCCCTTTAGCGATACCTACTTCCTCCGCGCCGACACGAGCGGCATCACCGGCGCCCGCGACACCACGCAGTGGACGTACCTCTACTTCTGCGGCGAGGGCAACAAGGACTGCAGCAAGGCCCGCCCCGCCCCGGCCTTCGGCAAGGCCTGGTCCTCCAACGCCGACTCCGCCCCGGCATCCCTGATCGGCTCGCACGGAGGCGACACCACCTCCTCGCGCTTCTTCTACCTCTGGCGCTTCGGCTGGGTCATCATCCTCATCACGCTCTTCTTCGAGACCCTGGCCTTCTTCTCCGCCTTCCTCGCTTGCTGCGGCCGGCTAGGCGCTGCCATCTCCGGTTCCGGCTCTGCTGTCGCTCTCTTCTTTCACTCTGTCGGGAGTGCTCTCACGACGTGAGTTTCTCTCGCTCCCCTTGCCATACACGTATACGCCACACACATATGCACGTGCGAACCATTCTGCTGACACTGGCGATGAATAAATAAAAATAGTGCCACCTTTGTCCTCGCCCGCGACGCCTTCCACTCCGACAACCGCGGCGCCTCACTCGGCAGATACGCATTCGGCTTCCTCTGGGCTTCCTGGGTCGGCCTCTTCGTCGCCACCCTCCTCTTCTGCATGGGCGTCCGCAAGGACCGTGGCCCTTCGCCGTCCACCCAGCGCAGACGCAGCGTTCGCAGTACCTCTTATAATGGTCGTCGCGTAAAGGAGGAGTATGCTTAAAATGCATTGCCCACGCTCCACCCCACCCCGTCCATCCATCCATCCTCCGCTCGACAGTCTCTAACCCCTCTCACACGCATGACTTTTCTTTTTTTTTTTTTTCTCCTGTGTGTGAATGATCCCTCCCTCCCTCTTTCCCTCTCGACTACTAGCCTTGTCTCTCCTTACGTCTTATGAACTATCATGGCTGCATATATCAAAAAATACCCGTCTTGTTTTCTTCTTCTTTTTTTCGCTCTTATATGCAACAGGAACGTTCCACATCTTCCAAAAAACTTACTAATTGTAACGTCCATATAATACAAATTACATTCCCAGCTGGGCTATTTGCAGTTCCATCTAGATCATGTGTACCAATACTGCACAGGTAACTCAACATCTAAAATTGTCCGCACTCGAGAGGGTGGGTAATATATGCATCTTACGGCACGCCAACGAGCGATATTCCCTAGAACTAAAAAGCAGAATGAGAGATAAAAGATAACATAAAAACAGAAGGAAATTTGAGCTCCCCTTTTTGACATTCAAAGGGAAAAAAAGAAGAAAAAAAAAGCCCCCAGATTCGTGTAGTAGTCAAGGTGTGCTCGTATACTAGCGGTGACCTTTTTTTCTTTTTTGGGTGTGCGTGTGTGTTTTGCTTTCTAACGCCCTCAGACTTTGGACCCCGACTCCCTCATGGGACTAGCCATGGGACTGACAGTGTCCAAGGACACGGCGTGCAGTGCCGGACGCGAAGACCTACCCTCGCCCTTGAGCTCCTTGTTCCTCTGGATCATCCTGCCCACCCACTCGGCCACCTCGCTGTCCTCTGTCCCCGAGGCGAGGCTCATCCTGCTCACCGCCTCGGCCGCCTTCTCGGCCGCCTCGCCTTCCTCGGCCTCCTCGCTGATCGTCTGCGGCTTACTCAGGTCCTTCAGCCACGGGTGCTTGAGGAGCATGGCGTACGTAGGGCGCGACTTGGGGACCTTGTGCAGGCAACCCTTGACAAAGTCTCTAGCTGTGTCCGAGTAGCCCGTTTCCGGCATCGCTGGGGGTTCACCCTCGACGATGGCCTAGTCTCTGTTTGTCAGTATAGGAGTGGGAGAGCGGGAGGGGTACGTATATCGAGAGGATGAGCGAATGTGAGGCTATGAGAGAAAGGGAGAGCATACACTGAGTTGACTGAATATCGTCGACGACACCTCGGGAGGGTAAGGGTATTTTCCCATGGCGCACTCGATCGTCGTCAGACCAAGACTCCAGATATCACTCTGGACACTGTACGTGCCGTCGTTTCCGCCCGACGAGGGGACCGCGCCGCCGCCGGAGATGCGCTCGGGCGCCATGTAGCTCTGGCAGCCGATGTTGGTCTTTGCGATGCTGGCGACGAGGTTGCCGCTGACGCCAAAGTCGCAGATCTTGACCTGGCCCCGGGTGTTGACGAGGATGTTGGTGGGCTTGACGTCGCGGTGGATGATGTTGTGCTCGTCCTTGAGCGACTTGAGCCCCATGATGGTCGAGTAGGTGATTTTGCGCAGCACGTTCTCGGGGATGCCATTGTCGTATAGCTTGTCGATGGACCCGCCATCCATGTACTCGATGCAGAGGTATACGGCTCCCTCCTGGAAGAAGGCGCCGTAGAAGTCGATGATGTAGGGAGATACGCACTCGTGCAGGATGACGAGTTCCTTGAGGATGGTGGTGAACTTGGCGTCGTCCAGCTCGAGCCGCATCTCCTTTATGGCCATGGTGACACCGCTAGTATTACCGCCGGCGCCCCTAGAGTCCATGCTGGCGGCAACTGTCGAGTCCGACAGCGTGTGCTTCATGGTGGGTTTCGTCCCCGATAGGCCGTGGCCGAAGCGGGGCACACGTGGCCTCGCGTGCTTGGCCATGTACACAGTCCCATAGTTGCCCTTTCCCAGCTCGTCGAGAATCTCCACCTCGTCGAGGGATATGCTGAACGTCTGGCCGTCGTGGAAGTTGACTCCTTCGCTCGTGATGGTCGCGGCGCCGTCAAAGGTGAGCCAGCCCTTATCGGCGTCGATGTACTTTTTGAACTCGTCCATCTTGGACATCTCCCTCGAGTTACTGCCGCCGCTTCCGCCGTTCATATCGGACAGCTTGGGGGCACCGGCCCTCTTCAGCCCACCGGTGGCGGGACTTGCGTCGCCACCCATGTCGGGGAGCTTCATGCCGCCCATCTTGTTGGCTCTCCTCTTGCTCAGCGACTCGGGGACCACGGGGGCCGACTTGTGCACGCTGGGAACCGGACGGTGCGGGGCGCCGTGCAGACGCATGTTGGACATGAAGCCGTTGGGGGCGCCGACACCGCCGGGGACGAATGGCGGGGTGGTAGCCTTTTGCAGGCGCTCATACTGCAGGGCCCTGGCCTTGGCCATGGCGGCGCTGTTGTCCATGGAAGCGCCAGCGCTCCCGGAAAAGGACGAGGGGACTCGCGGCGGCGGCTTCCTGGCCATGGACAGCTGGCCGAGGGCCGTCGAGTTGGGGTTCATGTTGAGCTGTTCAGTACCGCCACGCAGGGAGGGCACTCGCTTGTGGATTTCGACGGGGTTGGAGCCATATTCCTCGCCCGGGGTGCTCCCCTCGGAACGATCCTCGGAGTTGATGGAGCCTGGTGTGGTGGCGTGGTGATGTATATCGTCCGGCATGCCGGAAAACGAGTCAGCGCCGGCCATGGCGAAGGCAGGACCGGCTTGGCACTCGGGTTACCATGTGCTGGGGGCGAGGCAGAGGGGGATAGTCGATGACAGGTGTGAGAGACGGATCGGCGATATCGTCGACAATTACTGTACGGGAATATCGTGTGTATCGGTGAATCACAGGTAGCGTGCGTACTTGTGACAATCGGAAAGGCGAAACAAAGGAACGTAAGCGGTCGGAGAGGGGTCGAAGAGATGGGTGCACACTTCAAGCCTAGGCGGACGGTGCGGGAGGTGCGGGAGGGAATTGGTTCGCTAGACCAAGCTGTAGAGAGAGGACGAAGAGCAGCAAGCCGTATCTTGTATCTTTATCGGTAGACCAGCAGACCAAAGAATCTGGGTGGCGAGGTGGGACAAGGAAGTCGACAACTTTTTTCCCTCTTCTCTCTCTCTTTTTTTTTTGTTTCTCTCCACGGTGGACAGAACGCGGTGGTCAAGCTCGGGGTTGGGTGCGGGGCTGGTGATGGTATTTGGAGGGGGGGGGAGGGGGAGGCAGTTTTAGTTTGGAGGTCCCTTGGGGGTCGATGGCTTGGTCGTAGTGTCGTGCGAAGACGGAAAAAGCCCCAGATGTCTATCCTTCTGACGGGTTCGTCGGAGGGCAAGAATGGCAGTAACGAGTCACGCTCAGACAGAGAAATTGAGATGACAGAGTGTCGAATCCGCTAGTGTGGGTGTCGATGAATGTTTATGTGTGTGTGTGTGTGGTGGGGGACCACCAAAAGCGGTAGACGGCGCAGCCTTGCGTGATAAAAAGAAAAGGTGGATTGAGGGCCCAGAGGCACAGAGAAGTCCCTGAGATGATGGGCAAGGAAGAGAGGAAGATATAGAATGGATCAAGAGAGTAGTTGGAGAGCAGAGAGAGAGGTAGTCGTGAGTGGGCCACGAAAGCTTCTCTGTGTCGACCTTTTTTTTTTTTTCTTTTTCTTTTTTCTTTGTTTTTTTTTTGTTGTGGCAATATCGTGTTAGGAGACGGGAGCGGGAGGGATAATAGCAGTCTTGACGTATATGTAGTAATAATGACTGGCTGTAGGTAATATCCGTAGCCTGTAGGTTGCTACGAATATGCGCTACTACTGGTAGTACCTGTATTACTACTGTAGCAGTGATAATAATACTCGCTATCAACAGCAGTAGAACTGCGGGGCAGTTGACGCTAATGTTGGGCACTGTACCAAGATTCCAGGGCGGGCAGCCTGGTAAAGGACATTGGAGCCCGAAGAGAGGCTATGGCTTTTGGCGCAGAAAGGAAATTAAAGACAGAGAAGAAACAAGGAAGACGGAAGCGAAAGGAAGAGGAGGAGAGGGGCCGAACACGTTTTGAAGAGGAGGCGACCATAATAGGGGTCCAGTGGGCAGGTGGTGACTGCTATATCGTCATTGTCCCAAGTACGAGACAGTGGGTTGGTTACCCCCATAATTATCATCACGGGCAATAATAACAGTCTGTGGTATGGGCTAATATGATACGAGTATGGGTATAATACAGGCAGATGCAGAGAGAGAGGAGAGAAGGAGAGAGCGCAAGAGTGAGGAGAGGGTTTTTTATTCTATTTTTGCAACCCAAAAAAAAATTACACGATAAGAAATAATAGGAATAATAATAGTAATGATGATAGACAAGAAAAGCAGCCCATGTCAAATACCGATCAATGACAGTAGCGATAATCAATCACGGACCTAGGAGATGGCGATCCCAAAATCGCAACCATGACGTACGGCTCCTCCCCTCTCCCATCGTCTATGGTCCATGGGCCATGGGCCAAGGACCACCCCCGGCCGCCCCTTGGAAATCTAGCCAATCCATCACTTTCCTCGGTCCCATTTCCCTTATTTTTTGCATACAATACATGTCTCCCAATAACCGGTCAACCAGCCGCAAGAAAAGAGAGAGAATGAGGGACAGGCATTGATCGGGGAATGTTCCTGTTTCTGCAGTGTTCAAGCCCAGAACAAGTTCTCCTCCTCTCCTTTCCCCTCCTTTCCCTTTTTCTGCAAGGCATTGCAGCCACGGGAACAGGGACTGCTCTTTCATCATTCCTTCTCCTACTCAGCACATCTCGAAACAGATCGACCCTGCGAAGATCCGTTTCAGGTTTTATATTATTCTTTCCTGCCCCCCCTCCCTCTATTGCTACCCACGTACAGCCAATCCAATGTAAGGCTCCGATGATGAGCCTCTATGCTATCCCTCTCGGCAATCGAAATCAATTTATCAACTTTGACGTAGTCGTATCCCAACATAACTGATATCAGAACGAAGCGTCTTTTTTTCTCTTTTTCTTCTTCCCTTCTCCTTGCCTGCAACCCCCACGGAAAGAGATGAGATCGTGACGGGAGATAGGTACGAGTGGTGAACCGTTCAAGATAGGGAAAGAAAAAAAAAGCAATATACCCCCCCTGCCGTCACTACGAACACACGAGGCAATCACCGACGATCATCGTTGGTGGCACGATGTTGACGTCGTGCATACTCGTAGATGGCAAGACCTCGTGCGTCTTCGTCGTTGACGTTATTCCCCACCCGCTCAGACGGCACTTGATCGAGTGCGGGCAACTAGTAGCAGAGCAGTATCGTACGAGAAAGATGCAGTTCCGGTAATAAGCAATACGGAGTAGATAGAACGGAATGAAGCAAAGCATGACACATGGAGGATGTACATATGGATACAGGCAAGGAAGAGAGAAGGAAGAAGATATAATATTCCATGTATGTGGTATTGCTATGGAGTGATTTAGCCTGATCTCCACTGCAAGACCCCCTTGGGCTGAAGTATTACGAGCAGAGAAGGGGCTGACGTCGTTGATGCTGCGCCACAGTGGCAAGTGTCGTCTTCCCTCGGGAGGAGGATTGGCTCCGGGCGTGGGACTTCCGGGCTGCTTGGGCAAGTTGCTTGGCAAGTTGCTCCTCTCTCGAAGCTGAATCTGACTCTTTTATTTTCTCTCAGGCAACAAATTTCTCTTCTATCTGCATTCTATCTACTATTGCCAAGGCTCATCTTACTTCATGCTTCCAACTTTCCCTCTGATGCATGGAGTCATAAGGTAGAGAGGTATATTCTTCTTTCTCTCTTAGAAATACCAAGAGTTGTCGTTTTTCCTTTTTTTTTTCCTTAATAAAAAAAAAACAAATTTAGAAGAAGAAATAAAGGAGAAGAGGAAAAAAAATTGAAAAGGAAGAAAAGACCGGGTAACGCTACGACGGTCGTGTGGATTTAGCGCTGTCTCTAATATAGACTCGCTCGTCCATCCAGAAGGCCAGAGACGAGCCCGTGTGCTCTTGACTCGGAGGAGCCCAATAGAATGGAATGGGGACTAACCTGTCATAACAATACAGCACCACCATCTACATCTATCTAACCCCTGTACTAGGCTAGGTATCATGTACGAATAACAATAGCCCGCGCCTCTCGGTCCATCAGAGATTCAAGTGCTAGTATCATCGTTAATGCTGTTCAGCCTGTAGGTCCCTGTCGGCGCATTCAGCTCTTCATCTTCACAGGTACATGTACGCGGAGCCTACACACGAGTCCCTTCTACTTCAACCTTCGACACTCCCTCTAGCTGAGAAGAGATGCCATGTAATGATACTCAGGCATATATATCCCTCTCCCTCTTTGTTTCCGAACACGGACTCTTATTAGCACGACGCAGGAGTGCTACAACCTAACAGAAACCAGACAAGCCATTCTCATTGACGTGGCAGACGGTGTGTCTTCACTCGTCTCTGTCTTCGCTTCCAATCTCCGTCTTCGGTCCTTGTCCTTGCCTTTGTCTTCATCTCCATCTTTTCCCGCTTCCACCATGGCATCGCATGTATTTTCCGCCAGACCGCTCGCATCTGCAGGGGATTATCGTGGTGAGTAATATATGTGGAAACCTCTTTTCTACCCAACCCCCGTCCCCCCTCGTTTTCATGACGGACCAGACCTGACAAGAGACGGTCCAGGGGCGGCGACGCGGCAGTGCAATAGCCGTGAAGACAGGATAGGCGAATGTATGTGCTGGTGACGAACGGATAGCACTGATCGTGATTCCGTCGATAGGTCCCGACACCCCTGCACATGAGCAGAGTGTGTAAGCCATCGAGAATGATACCATGTTACAGTGTAATGCAGAGTCAGCAGAGAGACCTGGTTCTAGCCACCCATCCACGGCAGCAAAATCCGATCGTGAAGTGATATGACATCCAGCTCCCGAGATCGATATCGGCGACACCAATCTATTTCGCTGGGTTGCAGGGTGGTAACGCGACGTTGGCGAGGAAGACACGATGATACTGTTTATCATAATCAGCATCAGCGTCTCGTCTCGAGATGATACAATACGGCTACACTACGAGTACAAGAGACGGCCACTGGTAATATAAACATGATGATACCCGGACCTGCTCACCGTATGCTGTCTAGTCATATTTTCACCATCACTACGAGTACGAGCACTTGTACTCCGCACTTGTACGAGAGACAGCGAGTATTACACGGGGCGCCCTGGCACTCGTCGGCGCTCACCTCGTCCTGCCTCCCTGCCTACGGCCCCACCGCCACTAAACTGCCACGCAGAACACTGCGACACCTCAACTGCTCCTCCTTGCTTCATATGGTCGACGCCACACTGCATATAACAGTAGACTTGTGAGATACATCGTCTAATATGTACCGAGACTTGGGTAGACTCGCATCGCACTGAAAGTATGCCTATTGGCTACTCTCAATGTAAGTAAAACTGGCTTGTAACAACCTCGCGTCATTACCGCAGTGATGCTATGTACTAGCAATTATTACCTACAGGCTACTAGCCCTACTACTCTACACTCTGCTAGAGTCTAGTAGTAGTAGTAGTAGTAGTAGTAGTAGTAGTAGTAGTAGTAGTAGTATGAGTAGTATGAGTAATACAGAGTAGCGGTACAGAGTAGCAGTATAGGTAGTCCGCGGTATACTGCCACTAGCAGTTGGCAAGCTAGCTACGTACTGCCTACCCGTACAAGTAGCGGTACCAGCGACCACGAGCGCAGTGTGGGAGGTGGGGAGGGGCGCCTAGGTGCCCACCTGCAGGGCTCGTACACGGTACAATGTATAGTGGAGGCCTACGAGCACAATGACACTAAAAAAAAACTCCAGGTCCCCTGCAGCAGCTGAAAGCCTACGGCGGCTCCCAGTTAGCATCGTCCGTCCCTGGTCACCTCATCGCTGGATCCTGATTGATTATCAGTCCACGTCCTTCAGCCACGGCACGTCACCAACTATAATGCGCCTCCAGCCTTATCCTCTCTCCTCCTTGACACTGCCCTCTCTTTTTTTTTCTTCCATTCCATTCTTCCATTCTTCTATCCTGATTCCGTCTTTCACCCATCATTTCTTCAAAAAATAAGAGAGAATCACGACAATCCTTCGACAAACACAAAAAAAATCGCCAACTCCCCCCCCCCCCCTTTCTCTCCTGTCTGCTTTGAGAAAAGCAGCATTCATTGATGGCTTTGTCTGGCCTCGTGAAAGCGCCCACGTCGTTCCGCCTCGCGGTCGTCGCCCAGGATGCCTACGACCTGCCCTTACGCGACTTTGGAAACACCCACGATGCGCATCCTGCCATCGGCCACCTCTGTCTTCTCGTCTTCGAGGCCGTTCTCGAAGTAGTCGTCGTCAGCCTTCCGGGTTACATCATCGCTCGCCTCGGGCAGTTCGACTCGGATAAGCAGAAATTCCTCGCCAACCTCAACGTGTCTCTGTTCACACCATGCCTGAGTAAGTGTTTGACCCCATCGCCGAGCGCACTGCGCCTTTGCCCTTGCACGACACACGTACCCTCCACCCCTTGCAACACAGCACAGGCTGACCCCCGACAGTCTTCACAAAGCTCGCCTCTCAGCTCAACGCCGACAAGCTTTCCGATCTCGCCATCATCCCCGTCATTTTCATCGCCCAGACCCTGATATCATGGATCGTTAGCAAGGTTGTCGTCCGCCTCTTCGGCTTCGGACGCCGTGCCTCCAACTTCGTCACTGCCATGGGCGTCTTCGGCAACTCCAACTCGCTGCCCATCTCCCTCGTCATCTCCCTGGCCCAGACCCTCAAGGGTCTCCACTGGGACAAGATTCCAGGCGACAACGACGACGAGGTCGCCGCTCGCGGCATCCTGTACCTCCTCATATTCCAGCAGTTGGGCCAGCTCGTCCGCTGGAGCTGGGGCTACCACGTCCTCCTAGCCCCCAAGCACAAGTACCCCGAGTACCAGGAGCAGATCGCCGAGGAGGGTCAGTACCGCGACCACGAGGACCTGAGCGTCCAGGCCCCCCTTATCGAGGGTCTCGATAGCGACGACGACAGCGATACTCGCACCGACGACTCGCGTGGCTATGACCCCGCCGGCCGCACCCCCGACTGCCTAACGTCGCGCGGCTCCATGTCCGACCTGGACGACAACAACGACGACGACTCGTACCCCAGCAAGAACAACAACGGCGGTAACAGCAAGAAGCTGTCCCAGAGCCTCACGGGAAGCCAGCCTGCCTTACCCGAGTCCAACGTCATGCCGTTCCCTCGCGTCGGGGCTACGGCCGGCGACTCTGGCAGCCAGAACGCCTGGTCGCGCACCAAGGCCGCCGTCGGGTTCAAGTTCCGCGCCGTCTGGTTGAAGGCGTGCGAGGCGTGGATCAGCACGTACGAGAGCCTTCCCAAGCCGGTCCGCGCCGTCCTCGCTCTGGCCAGGCTGGGCCTGGCCAAGGTCAACAACTTCCTGTGGGAGTTCATGAACCCCCCTCTGTGGGCCATGATCTTCGCTGTTCTGGTGGCCTCGGTGCCCAGCCTGCAGAGCCTCTTCTTTGAGGAGGGGTCCTTTGTCAAGAACAGCGTCACCGACGCCATCGAGTCGAGCGGCGGCGTCGCCGTACCCCTCATCCTCGTCGTCCTGGGCGCCAACCTCGCCCGCAGCACCTCGCCCGCCAACGACATGCAGGACGACCCCGAGGAGGAGGCCATCGGCACCCGTCTCCTCGTCGCCTCCCTCATCTGCCGCATGGTCCTCCCCACCGCCATCATGGCGCCCCTCCTCGCCGTCACGGCAAAGTACGTCGCCGTCAGCATCCTCGCCGACCCCATCTTCGTCATCGTCTGCTTCCTCCTCTCTGGCGCCCCCAGCGCCCTTCAGCTCGCCCAGATCTGCCAGATCAACAATGTCTATGAGAAGGTTATGGGTCGCATCCTCTTCCAGAGTTATGTCGTCTGGTACGCTTTCCCTCCCCCTCTCTTTCTCTCTATCTCTCCATTCATCTTCACACCTTGACATGTCAGAAAACTAACTCGCTCCATTCCAGGGTCCTCCCTTCTACTCTCATGCTCGTCATGCTGGCCCTCGAGACAGTCGAGTGGACCAAATAAAACAGAAAATATTCATCTAGGTGTCTGCCATGGATGCCCACAGAAATCAACAGCATCAACAACACCAGCAGCAACAAAGAAAAAAAAAAGTTTCCTAGTGTCTGAGCGTGAACCTGTCTGTATCATTATTTATCTTTTCTTCCCGATCCCGCCCCTCCACTGTCATATTGTTAGATATATATATATATATCTAATTTTGAGTTTTGAAGTCGGGGAGTATCAACGTCAGACTAGGAATGTCACCGCCAAGATTACGTTAATCACCCTTGACAAGGGTGTCAGGGTGGATGGGACAGCGTTTGAGTAGAATAGTTGTTTTTATTTTCGTCCCCCCCCTCTGTTTCTAGGTGTCCCCCCCTCTCCTCTTAAGCTAGACAATCACTGCTTTATTCCCCCCTGCTGCCGTGTTGCCCCGTGAACGATATTTACTATTGTTACAGCCTATGTATTTATTGTCGATCTCTTTCTCAAACGTGGAGCATTGTAAAACTCTATGTTGTATGTGTGTACTTGGCTCCCTAGTAGAAGTCTACATGTGACATCATCACGACGCTCCGTTGGACACGGCAGCAGTCGAGGTCCGCGGCTCGAGAGCCCAGTCCCTCACGGTACCCTTCCAGTCGCTGATGCGTGCGTCCTTGATGGTGACGACGATGACACTGACTTCTTCCCCGGGAACAAAGTGGGTGACCCTATTGCTGCTCTCGGTGGTGCCGTTGCTCCCCTGTCCCTGGTCCTGGCGGTTGAGCCGGACACCCTCCTCGTACGTGTGGTTGTCTAGGTGGCGGGCACGGAAGTACTGCTCCTCTTCGGACCCTCCCTCCACTATGCGGGCCTCACCGCCGATGGTAGCGCTGATGCTGGAGAGTTGCGAGGAATTGAGATTGATGAGGAGTTCGGCCAGGCTCGAGCGGGGCTCGGGGGCCGGCGATCCGCCGGACGGTCGGCGCTGGTGCGTCGGGGGGCGATGGGAGACCCCTGCGCGGGAGAGTTAGTATCGGCCTATTTTTCATTCTTCGCCCTATTCTGTGTCTATCTTTCCATTGTCTTTCTTTGGGGAGGCATGATCATGCGTCATGGATAGTTTGCGAGGGACCTACAGTCATGGACAAGAAGGGACACGTTCGGGTTAGCCTGAATGCTTATCGTCTTGCGGGAAGAAGGGTTCGACGTCATGACGATGACGGGCGAGTCGTTGTGCGGCGACGAAGGAAGGTATGTATAGTTCATGAGAGCTACATGAGGCACATTATCGGTGCAGGTAGCCAGGTGAAGCTGTGGTTTTTCCGACAATCAGTACTCGTACAAGTATATGGCACCGGGGAGACGTCTCGCAAGCAGGGGCAAACAAGAAGAACGTACAAACCGGGCATTCTCAAGACACTGGGCCACTTCGCTGGGCAGAGCAGCGGTAGTCTGCTTGTTGATGTCGCCATCAGAGGCCTCATAGTTCAAGGGGATCTTGTCCATGGTTACGCAGTAGCCCGTGGAAGGATTTCTCGGTTGTGTTTGCCTATCAATTATGATTAAGGGTCTTGAGAGGAGGGGAGATGCAGATCAACCATCTACCTACAAGTGTGTGTATTCCGGCTGCGAGCTGAGAGTAAGAGCAGGATGCTTGGGAGCGGGGCCAGGATGACTAAGGCGGGGGAGCTTCTTCCGTAAGTCTGCCCGATGGACGGAATATGCATGCGCAATCGACGTATCAGCACTTTCTTTCTTTTCTTTTTTTCTCTTTTTTTCTCTCATGAGAACGCACGGCGTAAAAGGCATAAGTAATCGTACGGTTGGAAATACTGATATAACTGTGCACGCATGATCGTCTCCTCCTTTTTTTCGTCCGGTGTTCAGGCGGATGAGCAATGGATGACGCATGAGATTAAGAAACCTTGATGTACACGCCCGTAGCCCATACGGCGGGGTAGACTGGTCGCTGTAATATATGAGACGACGGCTCTTCTTTCATGCAATCGATGCCAATGGGACAGCCTCTTGGGAAACTTTGGCGTTGAAACTTCAATCTTACTACTAGTGATGGAATGAGTATGTCAAAAAAAAAAATGTACACCTGATGTTCTACTTATAATATGTACATATTTCCACTGACGTGAATTGTATCCTAGTTATTACATCATGGTCCCGTGGCTGATACAGATGGCTTGACGCGGCTACTGTCGGCCTCGGTTCCCCGCGTCGTCTCGCCCAAGTCACTTGCAAGACACGGCAACTGTCAAGCCGAGGACATGTCTATAAGTTTTCTCCATCGATGAACTCTGCCATCTTTCCATAAGCAGATAGAAATTTCACCTTGCCTCTCCCGTAAAGCGCCCTCATCACTGCGACATTGCTCACCAGGTGGCCAAACCATGCGTACCCTCCGAACCAGACGCCTACCCGTGAGGCCACTCCCTCGATGTCTGACAACGTCATCACCGTCATCTGGGACGACAGCAGTCAAGCCCATACCTCTCAGCTCCGTCCTGATTGCCAATCGGGGCGAGATTGCCATCCGCATCAACCGCACAGCCGAGCGTATGGGTATCCGTGCTACGACCGTATATACCGACGTAGACGCAGCGGCATGGCACGCATCGTGCGGATACCAGTCTCTGGGACTGGGTGCCGCTTCGGACGGCTACTTGGACGGCGACAAGATCATTCAGCTGGCCAAGAAGAATGGCATCCAAGCCCTACACCCAGGCTATGGGTTTCTCTCGGAGAACCCGCAGTTCGCGGAGAAGTGTGAGAGGGAGGGCATCGTGTTTGTCGGCCCGCCGGCCTCGGCCATGGCTGACATGGGTCACAAGGCACGCAGCAAGGAGATCATGACCGAGGCTAGCGTCCCCTGCGTCCCGGGCTATCACGGCACCGAGCAGGGCGAGGAGGAACTCCTGATCCGGGCTCGCGACGAGGTTGGCTTCCCTGTTCTGCTGAAGAGCGTGCGCGGCGGCGGCGGCAAGGGCATGCGCATCGTCATGAGCGAAGACAAGTTTGTAGCGCAGCTGCGGAGCGCCCGCGCTGAGGCGTGCGCCTCCTTTGGCGAGGGCGGCGAGGTCATGCTCGTCGAGAAATACATTGTGCGTCCGCGCCATGTCGAGGTCCAGGTCTTCGCCGACAAGTCGGGAAACACGGTCGCCCTGGGTGAGCGGGATTGCAGCGTCCAGAGGCGCCACCAGAAGATCCTTGAGGAGTCGCCCGCGCCGGACCTCGATGACGCCACCAGGCGTGACCTATGGGACAAGGCCAGGAGGGCCGCCGCCGCAGTTGGCTACGTCGGCGCGGGCACCGTCGAGTTCATCCTCGACAAGGACACCGGCCGCTTCTACTTCATGGAGATGAACACACGTCTGCAGGTCGAGCACCCTGTCACCGAGATGGTCACGGGCCTCGACCTGGTAGAGTGGCAGTTTCGCGTTGCCGCTGGTGAGGACCTCCCCCTCAGCCAGGAAGAGGTCGAGCGCGCCATGAGCCTTCGGGGTGCCGCGATAGAGGCTCGCATCTACGCTGAGAACCCCGAGAAGGGTTTCCTGCCGGACTCGGGAAGGCTGGTCAAGGCCTACCTGCCACTGGAAACCGACCCGGACGTCCGCCTGGACAGGGGGTTCCGGTCCGGCAGCACCATCTCCGAGGCCTACGACGGCATGATTGCCAAGCTCATCGTCCGCGGGGACACGCGCACCCGTGCCGTCGCCAAGCTGGAGGCTGTCCTGCGAAAGTATGAGATTGTCGGCGTCAGCACAAACGTCGAGTTTCTCAAGCGTCTATGCCAGACCCCGGCCTTCATAGACGGCGACGTCGACACGGGTTTCATAGACAAGCACAGAGACCGCCTCTTCTCACCACGGCGAATCGCCAACGAGGTATTCTCCCAGGCAGCCCTGGGGGTGGTGGGGCTCGAGATCCGCAGAACCGTTGGCGATAATGGCCCCCACGGCCGGGCCTTGGGGTTCGGAAGCCAGCCTGCCCGTAGCCTCCTGTTCAAGGTCCTGGACGGGTACGGCGAGACCGAGGGCGAGGTAGTCGAAGCGAGCGTCACCCAGACTGACCGCCATATCTTTACCGTTACTGTTTCCCGCAAGGACGAGGAGCAGGAGATATTCACCAACATCTCCACACAGTACCGCTATCCCGACGATGCTACCATCAGCGTAGAGTCCCGCTTCCCCGAACAGCGCATCACGTCGTCTGTCGTTCACCGGACGATGGACAATGACGTCAAGGTCACAATCTTCCAGCATGGTGTCAAGACGGACCTTGAGCTGGTTCCGCCGAAGTGGTATGAGAAGGAGCTTGGCATTAAGGAGGTCAAAGCCTCCGTTGCCGCACCGATGCCCTGCAAGATCCTCAAAAATGAGGTCCAAGAGGGCCAGCAGGTGAAGAAGGGTGACCCGCTAGTCGTGTAAGCTGCCCCTTCCCTACCTCCTTTGATATGTTCCATGTCTATTTACACGTCGACTAATCGGGCATATCTCCATCAGTATTGAGTCGATGAAGATGGAGACGGTGATCCGGTCTCCGCAAGGTGGCGTAGTCAAGAAACTCGCTCACCAAGAAGGCGTACGTAGCAGTGCAATCCATTGTCCTATATCCGCGCACTGTCCGTTCCATACCGCACTAGTACTAACCGTCATCATCCAGGATATCTGTAAAGCCGGCACGATTCTCGTCATCTTTGAGGAGGAAGGGCAAGCGACGAGTTGATGAGTTTCATTCATGAGAGATGCTATGCCTTGTTATATTGCCATCTATATTTACACGATAATACAGCCTGTCTGATTTCCCTTCCCATGTGGTCCCTGTGTGCCCAAAGTGTAAAAGAAAAAAAAAGGAGACGAGAAAAGAAAGATGCAGTGTGCGGAATGTAGGTATGCCTAAGCTAGGCTTCCCCTCCTTGTATGTGGGGAAGCTTGGACGATCATGTCTTGTCCAGTCTAATGCCCCCAAAGCTACGACGTACTGTGCCGCCAGACCAGCTGGGGGGATTCCGCCGTTTCTGTAGCTGGGGGGATTCTTCCCGTCCTTACTCTACTAGTCGAGCAAGAACAGGAGTGGGGTAGTGCTATCGATGGAGCTACTACTTCGTCTTCATCTTGTCGTAGTCCTCTGGGAGATAACGACTCAGATTCGACTTCTTGGACGCTTTGCGGAGACGGTTCCACCACTCTCCCATGCGTTTCTGGAACTTGGGATCCGAGGAGTCGACGTATATCGACGACGTGAAGTTTCTGATAAGGTCCTGAATAATAGTGCACGAGTTAGTCTTGCATGGCCCCCTCCTTGTCGTGTCTCTGCCTCGGTTTCGTGTATTGGATATTTACCTCTTGTTGTGCAAGCGTGATGAAGCCGAGGACGAAGGCGACCCAGGCAAGGGTGCCGTTGGTGCTGAGGAACTGGTTGCCGCCGCGGAACTCGACGGTACCGGTGCAACGGCCCGTCTTGGGGTTGGGGAAGATGTTCTGGAAGTTCCAGAGAACGTAGCGGTTGCCCTGCATGTACATCCAGAGTTCAACCTCGTTGGCGCAGCTGTAGATGTCGGAGGCGACGCGGGCCAGCGAAGATGCCGACCTTCCCCATGCCAGGACCTCATTGAGGCCCGAGTCAAGGCTGCGGCTGTTGGCCTGACAGTACTTGTTGTTGCGACGCACGGGGGGCAGGAGGGCGGCGACAAAGTCCTCGTAGACGACGGTGGCAAAAGCGATCTTCTTGAGCGACTTGAGCGAGAACTTGTTGTTGAGGCTGACCGGGGTGACGTGGACGTGGCCGCCACACGAGGTGTCCTTTTGCGGGTTGAAGTGGACGCGCATCGCCTCCCAGAAGTCGGAGAGGATGTTGCTCACATGCAGGGTCGTGTCCAATCGGGGGGAGACCACCTCCATGCAGACTGCAGAAGCGGGTTCGAGTCAGCACTCACTTCTGCAAGGCAATAACCAAAGCGGGAAAAAAAAAAAAGAACAGAGTAGAGACAAGATAAAGAGACTTACCCATGGGTCTCTCGCGCTTGAGCGAACCATCGCGCGTCACGAACCACTTTCCACCATAGTATTCGGGATGCTTGCTATACCTCGAGTTGTCGTCGTGGACGGCGTCGATGCCGCGGTTCCGGAGCTTCTGGGCCAATTGACGATACCAGTCGACGTTTGTGAAGGAGTCACCGCCGCCATAGGGCTTGACGACGGCCTCGATCTCGACTCCAAAATTGTAGTGGCGGGCCATGGTCTTTGGCTCTTGTGCCTGCTGTTCCAAGACGCCTGGCGTGCTGGTGGATGGCATCTCCCTCCTGCTGAAAGGGGGATCGTTTGGATTGGTGGGGAGTAGAGAGATGTTTAGACGTAGAGATGTAGATCTCGGATGGGGATGAGAGGATGAGAAGATGAGAAAGAGGAGGAGGGGGACTCAATCTTGAGAGTGAGGCTTTTGTGTTTCTTTTCTTGCCTTCTCTCGCGTCAGCTCTGGCAGCCTTCGAATCTCAGACACTGCCCAACATCACGGGCACATGACGATGCCACGGTTGTTGGCATCGGGTGGGAAACGGAGAAGAGCAAGGAAAATGAAAACAAACGATGTCCAATGGATACTGAAGCTGTCACCAAAGGCTCGAATGGCTGGTGCGTGGGACAATATAGACCCCTGTCCGTCCCCTTGGGTGCAGAGGTGCAGCAAGGTGAAGGAGCCCGACTGGCGGAAACCTTGGGCGATGTCCCATGAAGTCATCGCCCCGACCAAGATGATCCTGACCGTGATACGGACACGCCTTGGCCAAGCTCCTCTGCCCGACGTGGTACGAGGCCATTGGACACTTTCGTCCTTGACCGCAGACGTAGCCAGGCTGTCGCGTGACGAATGTTGCTGCCCGATATATGCAGGGGATTGAAAGCTCCACCGTAGGGGAGTTACGAGTAATACTCGTAGACGTAGGCCCCTCTACAGGGCCCCTCTCTTACAGGGCCCCTCTCTCACTGTAATAACTTCTCGCTCTACGGAGTACGGATACTCGTACACGTATTGCTCTGTATTACCCTCCCTCTCTCCACTCCCAACGATGACGGCCCGTCCCTCTCACCCATGACAATCCCCACCAAGAGCTTTGACTCTGGCTCCAACTCCGACTCTCTCTTTGCTATTCTTTACCGATACTTCTCTTCCCTCTCTCTCCATTTTTGCTTCGCCACTCACAAAGAGTAATATCCGCCATTTCCTGTTCTCCTTTTTTTCTTTCTTGCTCCTCTCTCACCCCCTTTTACCCCTTCCCCTTGGCGTTTTTACCCGTCTCCCATCCCTCCCGCATCTCCTATTATTCCCTACGTCCATCCCGATTATCC